TCGGATATTTTAGATTAAATTGTGTACAAAATTGTCTGAAAATTTTAGAAAATAATATTCACAATATTCCCAGTATTTTTAGTTTTTATTGGAGGAAACTTGGCAACGTCTGAAGGCTCATACGGCGTTCTTCCTTAGCATGGCAGTAACTGCGACCGAGTTTTCAGACAAGCGTCTTCTCTTTAATTTGAAATATTTTTATGTTTAACCATCCATGCAAGGAGTGGTCTCAGCCCCTAAAAGTTCAAATATCAGATATTTATGCCCGCGTTCAAAGGAGTGACCTCGGAACATTTTCAGACAAGCAACGCCCAAAAATGTCAAGACAACCCGGTATGTCGATTCAAATGCTGCAGTTCAAGTAACCTGGTTTTAAGAAGAAGATGTTGCGAAATGCAAATCTGCCATGTCAACGGGACAAAATTTCTATTGCATTATGCAGCTTTACATCCTTTATTCATTGAATCAAAGCTAAACTATAAAGGTGGCACCTTATTCAGTAGTAAGTTTCTGATCTTCCACATTTAGGCACAACATTTCCAGAAAACTTTAAAAATGTATGCCCTCTATCTGGCACAAAACAGAAGAATCGTAGAATGAACTTTTTTAACCCAACTTGTTCTTGCTCTTGCATGGAGAATGTGAGCTTTTACAAAGGAGTGAACTTTCCTCCAGTGTGCCAATATCTAATTAAGGCCAATTTTGTCTTACGGCTCGAACTTCGAGCGTTTTTTATTCATGGGTTGTGGGGTAATTTGTTTGACAAAACTAGTTACCCAATTACACACATGGCATTAGACGTCGTATTACCTATGTAAATTGCCAATCTAAGGACATTTCAGGGGCCTCAACCTATGATTCAGCAAAGAATTCTCTTTCGTCCGTAATCACAACTTTCCGCTAATACCCACGTGTGAACTATCGCGAACAAAGGGCCAAACAGAGAGATGATCAATCAAAAACTCAGTGTCAGCCTTAATTTTAGTTAAAGTATACAGAGGTACACACGTGTACATCATTTTAAGGGTTGTCTTGAGAAGCATTCCACATCATTATAAAAAGGATCACGCACTCATAGAAGTAAAATCCTGAACTCTTCCTGTGTCAATTTTTTTTCGTAAAATAACACCAAGCATAAATTAAAAATACGTTTTCCCTCTTGTTCAGCTAAAATCTATCATTTACTCCGTTTAAAAGCAACTTTAATTGACTCGATTTATTTAAATAAGCGGTTCAGCACGGTATTTTACACGGGTTGAAGGGTCTCACAAACTGTGAAGAGCGTCACGTGTTTTAAAGATAAATACAACGTGTTAGTTATCCCATAGTTATTTCTTTTCGGGAGAGGATTCCAGCAGAGATATAAAAAGGGTTGTTGCGTGAAGGATAATAATGGGGATGATCTTTATCAGGGGAGCAAGAAACAACCTGTCTCCCAGAGTGAATTCCTCGGAGGAACCTTACAACCGGTTGCCAGGCATCCCTCANCGACGAAAATAATTGTTTTTCGATTCCAGGATTTTGGGTTTGAGGCGCTGCTGCGCCCTTGCATGGGCTCCGTTCGGTCTAATATTTGGCACAGAGTCTACCTAAGACTAGTACTTTGAAAATATGAAACATTTAGCAAAATCCAGGTGGGGCCGGAAAAGGCCCAAAACGCAACTCCTCCTTTATGCATATTTTTCCTTGAAATTTTCGGATATTTTAGATTAAATTGTGGACAAAATTGTCTGAACATTTGAGAAAATAATATTCACAATATTCCCAGTATTTTTGGTTTTTATTGGAGGAAACTTGGCAACGTCTGAAGGCTCATACGGCGTTCTTCCTTAGCACGGCAGTAACTGCGACCGAGTTTTCAGACAAGCGTCTTCTCTTTGATTTAAAATATTTTTATGTTTAACCATCCATGCAAGGAGTGGTCTCAGCCCCTAAAAGTTCAAATATCAGATATTTATGCCCGCGTTCAAAGGAGTGACCTCGGAACATTTTCAGACAAACAACGCCCAAACATGTCAAGACAACCCGGTATGTCGATTCGAATGCTGCAGTTCAAGTAACTTCGTTTCAAGAAGAAGATGTTGCGAAATGCAAATCTGCCATGTCAACGGGACAAAATTTCTATTGCATTATGCATGCTTTACATCCTTTATTTATTGACTCAGAGCTAAACTATAAAGGTAGCACCTTATTCAGTAGTAAGGTTCTGATCTTCCACATTTAGGCACAACGTCTCCAGAAAACTCTAAAAATTTATGCCCTCTATCTGGCACAAAACAGAAGAATCTTGGAATAAACTTTTTTAACTCAACCTGTTCTTGTTCTTGCATGGAGAATGTGAGCTTTTACAAAAAGGTGAACTTTCCTCCAGTGCACCAATATCTAATAAGGCCAATTTTGTCTTACGGCTCGAACTTCAAGCGTTCTTTATTCATGGGTCTTGGGGTAATTTGTCTACCAAAACTAGTTACCCAATTACACACATGCCATTAGACGTCGTATTACCTATGTAAATTGCCAATCTAAGGACAATTCAGGGGCCTCAACCTATGATTCCACAAAGAATCCTCTTTCGTCCGTAATCACAACTTTCCGCTAATACTCGCGTGTGAACTATCGTGAACAAAGGACCAAACAGAAAGATGATTAATCAAAAACTCAGTGTCAGCCTTAATTTTAGTTAGAGTATACAGAGGTACGCGTACACTATTTTAAGGGTTGTCTTGAGAAGCATTCCACACCATCAAAAAAAAGGATCACGTACTCATAGAAGTAAAATCCTAAACTCTTCCTGTGTCAATCTTTCTTTCGTAAAATAACACCAAACATAAATTAATAATACGTTTTCTCTCTTGTTCAGCTAAAATCTATCATTTACTCCGTTTAAAAGCAACTTTAATTGACTCGATTTATTTAAATAAGCGGTTCAGCGCGGTATTTTACACGGGTTGAAGGGTCTCGCAAACTGTGAAGAGCGTCACGTGATTCAAAGATAAATACAAAGTGTTAGTTATCCCATAGTCATTTCTTTGGGAGAGGATTCCAGCAGAGATATAAAAAGGGTTGTTGCGTGAAGGATAATGATGGGGATGATCTTTATCAGGGGAGCAAGAAACAACCTGTCTTCCACAGTGGATTCCTCGGAGGAACCTTACAACCGGTTGCCAGGCATCCCTCAGGACCCGACGAGCCATTTCCAGCTCATTACACACGACACACGGAGAAGGTAACACGGCTCAGCATCTGTTAGCAACAGGCAACAGGTGGTTGCTCAGCCGGCGGTGCAGCCCACAAATCGAATCCCTGAAATACAACATGACATAACATCCCCTAAACATCGGTTTCCCACGGACTCACAAGACGTAATTGATTTCGTTCTCTAACCCGCGATGGTGCAACGGTAGACCCCGAAAAAGAAACGGAGGTTAATTGGTTTCCTCCACGAGCCACTGGTTTTAGTTCGTTTTCCATCCCTTCTCTTTAATTTAGTCAGAATTTCACTGACTGCCTGGTAAGTCGGTCATGCCAATAGGATCAGAGTATGAAGGAAAAACGTCGCCTTTTCTTAATGCAACAATATTAGACTCATGTTGTACCATCTAATATTCCTCAAGATGTCTCCTGTCTGTTTCTCTGCCTTTTTACTTTTTTAATGTATTTATTTATTTTTAGAAAAAAAAAGGGATGCCTCTCTTCCTATTCAAGTTGCCTTACATAGGCAACTCGTGGGTTTCACGATGGTCACCTTTTGCCTTTGAAAAAAAAGAGGGGAATGACGAGACTCCGAAAACCACGTCACAGCTGCTGCTTTTTAATTCGAACTTACATAGTGGTTTGCATAGTAGCATTGCTGCTCGGTAACTCCAAAGCAAGGGGACGAAGAAATTATCTAATGGAAAAAAAAAATAATAAATAAAAAAATGTACATTTTGCACCCCAGTTTGGCGAGATATAAATAGACAAATCTATGCCCAAAGTGCAAAACCACGTAGTTTTAATGCAGTGTCTCAAAATTACCGTCCCAATTTTACATTTCCGAAGAGAAACGAGCAAATTCAATGCTTGAAATATATGCAGGATACTGTGCTAACGAAAACGTGAGGTAAAGGAAGTTTTTAAAAGAAATTACGAGGAGAAGCTAAAGTTGATAATTCCTCCTTCCTACGCGGACGTATCCTCTAATTCGTCTTGCACATTACGCACACGCCGGCGAAGCCAACGCCGGCGCTTTGATACAACTATTCTGCCACTTAGGACGCGCGTGTTGCGTCTCTTTGAAAATGAAGGCGCATGCCGTGCGCTGAGAAGTGAACATAACTTACAAACCCCGTACCCGTTCTCGTGTTCCTAAGACTCACTACTTTCAAACTTGCTTCGGAAATATTCTAAGGGTTAGTCTTGGTAAAATTCGCTGTGCTTAGTATTTATTTTAATAATATATTAAAGTTCCAGCTCTAACGACCAAACAGATCAACGACCTCACAGAAAGGACGTGTATTTATCCTCATTTAAGCACACGTGGCTGTTAAGAGATCTCATAATTTTAGGAAATTAAAGGAAATTTTGTGTTGCTCCCGCATCTTGCTGTTTCTACGGACCGTTGATACAGCCATTCTACAGTATATTCTTTATAGCACTACATTTTATGTTCCCTCTTTTGAATTTTTCGTGGAAAGCAATTCTTGTGAGCGGTAGCTCGGAAATCAACCATCGAGCATGTAAACTGATCAGACTGAAGACAATAAGTTAAACAAATGACGTCATTTGTGGTTTTATCATCTCAAAAGATGAGAATCATAAATATTAAGGTCTTAATATTATTAGGGCAGTGCTTTTAGATTTCCACTGTGAGCATAATTTTTTACAGTTCTGAGGAGAAAACATCTAACGGAGTGTTTCAGTTCAAACCTAGACGGGTGCATCATAATACAACAAATTGCATCGAATAACAGTCAAATTAAACCTTAAAAGACTGACCAGTAAAGGCGAAAAGTACTTACAAAAAACGATATCAAGAAGGAGCACCTCGAAACAGTAATAAGCCAATAGTGATGGGGGACAAAACTACACAACAACAAATCACACGCGCGCGAAAAAAACAGACCAAACCGGCGAAAAACCTGTATGTAAAACAGATCTGAACACCTGTGTGAGCCGGACGCCAAAGGCTGCTCCACTGCACCACGAAAAAAGCACCTTTGAGGATTGCAACTCCACGAGAAAACCAATAATAACACTGACACTTTTTTTTTGTAAAGCGCGCGCGAGGTACGTCTCCCCGGGTCGACCACAAAAGCAGACTGAGCGCGCGGCCGTGCGGGAGGCGCGTGTGGTAGGGTAGGGACTCTGGACTCCGGGATCCTCAACAGGTCCGTCCAATTCCACCGTTTTGCGCCGTGTTGCCAATTCGATGCATTTAATACCACGTAAGGTGAGGTGAATCAAAATGTAAAGGTGAATCTGCAACGGAAGTAGACAAACATTGGATCAAATTTTACTACTTTTTTTTTATTAAAATAAAATGTACTACTGCCCCTTACGGGGCATTAATTGCATAGATGTTAACTTAAGCTTAAAGCTAATCTTAAAACTAATATTATAAGATTTTGTTTTTAGTTAATAAACTACATTCAGACCTTGACCTACGCTTCTCAATTACAATCCTTGGTTATCCTCATCATTCATACAATAAATTTTACTACTTGAAGATATTTTTTTCACTTTAAATTTTTGGCAAAAAATTTTTGGCTAAAAACTTGAAAAAAACTTTTAAAATCATTTTGGATATTTTTTCTTCATGGGTAACGGGAAACCCTTCATGTACCTGTATTACCTTTCGGTAAAATGTGTATAATAAACACGTCTTTGTGAAAATTACTCTTCAAGAATTGCTAATACTGTTTTTACTTAGATAAATGTTGTAGGTCTGGTTCATTCTCTTTGAAAAAGCAACCAAAGGGTGCCTTTCTTCCCAAATTTAAAGGTTGTTGCAAAAGTTTTCTCTAATTTTTAGTGTGGTTTAAAAGTTTCGAAATAAAACTCGTTCTTACTAAGTGAAGACCATAGTATCATGACTGGATTTCTGAATTTTGTAAAATTACCAAATAATTGACAAAAACTATTCAAATACAAAGTTTTCATGTTCAAAGCATTGGATATACCATGTCAAAGAAGCTAAATTTAGTGACTCACATTTTCACAGGCACAAAATGACACATTAAATGCCAATTTGATAGATCATTTCCCAGGTAAGGATAATCAGTGTTCGTGATTACACTTTATCTACCGAAATTGTACCTTCTTACTTTTGATTACTTATACATATCGAATCATATGTGGCAACGCTTGAGTATCGGTCATTCTAACCTGGGGTCCAGAGTCTATTCTTAAAATTTAATTCATCACTAAAATACGTGTATTCCTTCTCCACACTGTAAATGCCGGTTACGTGGACTCCTATACTTATAAGTCGGTTAAAAAGTATATGAAGATGAAGAAAAACCTTCCAAGTGCCTTCATTAAAAATAATGCAGATTACACATAGTAATAACTTATGTAATGTTACTATCAGCACAATCGACTATTTTCTTGGTGGATATTGTGAATTTAAAGTCGACATTTTTTCTTCCTTTTTTTGAAAAAAATTTGCTCTCTTGACAGAAATTCAATATTTTACCGAATTCAAACTTTCTTAACTTCTTAACTAAAGAAAAAGGACGATGGTTGATTTAAATAATATCTGGTCTATACTGTTTAAGACCCTACTCAAGAGCTTTATGGTCGTAAAATTGGCAACAAGGCACCTCAGATATGAGGGTCTCCCGCCCCCTTTGCCCCTCGCTGAGAGCTCGCTCCTTCCTCCCTTCCAGGATCACACCGGTTGCAGAGGTTTCTCGGCTGAGAAGATAGGTACTTCTTTTTTATTCTATCTGATGCATGTACATCCGTTCTCTCTGTCCTTGTCTACCTCTATAAAACCGCCTCGCGGCGCTTCGTTCGGGGTACCTCTGCGGCCGACTTAATGAAATGTTAATATTCTCGAATCCTTTGTTTCTTTGTGGTCAGCAGCCGCACAGTGGATCCAGTCGATCAGAGACGTCGGACATGAAATATTTAACTAAAACTGCGAATTTCAATGTTCATTTCATCATATTTTAAATTTTGAGGTGTGCTTTTGCAAGAAAATTTCACCAGAAAACGAATGAAACCACTTTTAGAACCTCAAAGTTTTGTATAAACGGAGTTATAAGCTTTTAAAGTTCCCAAATTTTGTCCGACCTTTCTCATTTGGCTCGATCCACTTTGCTTGGGAGGACGCACGTTCCTTTGTGCTAGTTGCGATTGCGCTGCGGGGCACATTCTTGCGTTTTTTCATTGACTCGATTCTCATTTTTCACCCGAAGATTCAATGAACCTCGACGTTTATACCTGAGCAAATGGTCTGGTGGATTTTTAAGATTTCTTACCTGGGAGATGCGAGCAAAAGCGAAAGAAGCGCAAAAAATCCTTCGCTGCCACCAATCAATTTCAAGCCGCTGGAAAGTTCACCAATTCGAGCTTGTATCCGCTGAGTAACAAGCAAAACTCTTAATTATTTTGACATTTTTATTTCCAGGAGAGGAATCCGGTTTTTTGCCATCTTTTCTCTGAACTGATACAAGTCGGCCGAGTACTTTTTCTTTTTAGCGCCCGAGGTGCTAAATACACCTCTATGTAATAAACAGATTCTACCCTTACTATTACTTCCTTTTAGTCTGAACTTCTTTCAAAATTCTTCAACTTGTAACAGTGTGCAGGACACCGAAAGGAAAATTCAAGTGATTGAGTATAGGGTAAATGTGCTAGATATGAATTCTCCATCCTTATTAGTTTTCCGCCGTTTTGGATTACATCAACCATTTTTCCCAAGAGAATTCATGCTCCGGGTTCGGATACAGTAATTATTTTTTCACCGCAGAAATACAAGATCACACGAAATTAAATCCGTATTTTAAACAAAGAAAAAAAGTATCGTTGATCTTACAATGCTCAATGGGTTCCAGGTCCCACATATTTTCCAATGTTACTTTTGTGGTAAAATTAATTACGGCCCCCGTAATACTTTTACTGGAAAAATAATGTTTTATAACAAATACACTAAAATGTACCCTAATAATCACTACCGGAAAAGAAGGCGGTGCCTGGTCTCTAACAGCGTTATTTGAGATTGATTCAGCAAATAGAAATACGCTGCACTTTTGGGCAATTTAATTTTTTACAAGAAAACGGTTGTGCGGATTTTTGTGCAAATTGCTGTGAATTTTCTGCATAATATGAAGCACATTTCCTAAAATTTCCAAAGGAGTCAGGCACTCGTGTTTACATGTGAAAAATTGAATTGCTCGGTCAAATCTGGCAACAGCTGTTTTGGCTTGGATCCTCTCCTCTAATCATGGTCCATCTCTTTCCGTATGAATTGAATACTTTTTTTTACTTTTAGTCGAGAAAGTTAACTTTTGATTCCAATTTTTAAACTGAATATGTATCTCAGAGATGTTTCATACGATCACGTATCAGAGCATACTGTGCAGAGCTCCCGAGAACTTGTGAACTTGGGATCTTGTAAAGGATAGCGAACCTCCATACTGCCGTGGTAAGGAAAAACGCCGTACGAACATCCGAGAGTTGCCAAATTTCCTCCGCTAAAATGTTTATTTTTGCGGAGAGTTATCAATATTTTTCCTTGAAATTTGTAGACTATTTAGATCAAATCCCGCACGAAATTGTCTGAAAAATCGGAGGGAAAATATCCATAAATATTCACGAAAATCCGTGATTTTTCTAAAGAAGTTTGGCAACGCCCAAAGGCTCATACGGCGTTTTTCCTTGGACGGCAGTGTAGACCCGAGATGCGTGAGAGGAACTCATGATTCTTGTTGAGCCTAGCCGTCTCGTTTCAAGATATAATTAGTGTGGTCTCCTTACTTCCTCCGCCCAATAGAGTCCAAATAAAGAAAGGGCTACGGGGAAAGAGCTGAACGCACTCTTTAAATTATTAGTCTTCAAAGAAGTGATTATCATTCTTGCTCTAAATATGCGCACCAGCAGCAGCTAACCATCCGAAGCATTCAGCATGAGTTAAGGCCAATTAGACTCGTGAGACAAATGGACTATTTAGACCTAGCCGAAGTCTATCTTTGTAAACGCTGACCGACAGTAAGGACCCTCGAGTTTTAGCGTAATCTCCGCGAATATTCTATTTATTATGCTCCTTTAAGACTTGTATAAAGCTAACATTGTTATTCTGGCATAAATCAACAAAATTTACGCTTGTCTATTAAAGGGCGTGACAAGAAAGGCGATTTCAAAATGTGTGCGTCATCAAGTCTTGCGATGGTCTAATATCGGCCTGTTACCTGGCCACACCCTTAATCATACCAATTATTTTCCAAATAAAGCAAGTGCCATCATGGAAAATTGATTCGTTCGACCGTAACCAGTCGGGGGAAACTTTAAATTCAAAAATTTTCTTTTTTGAGGCCTTGCAATTTTGTTAAATAAACTTCGCTCTGTTACAAGAATGCTCTTGGTGTGTGTGATAATAATCCATTAAAATCCTATTTTTTAAATTTTGGCTCTTAGGTCATTTGGAATTTAATCGGTTCGAATGCCATCTACATGTTTAGTGAACTGTAATTCCGGCAATTTCTCCTCTTCCTCTTCCTCTTCCTCTTCCTTTTCCTCAGATGCTCCTTCGCCCACATTTCAGGAGGGATAGAGCAGAGCATAATGTAATTCTCACTAGTATATTTATCAGATTTTACTGTGCTATAGTTTCACCATGGCATCTAGGAAATCATACACGTGTATTTAGGCTTGTGGTGTTACAGATTTCCTCTAGCATTTCATTTTTTCGACCGACGAATGATCATCGTTTTGTTCGAAATGCCGCGTAGATTCATTAAGATTTTTCTTTTATTTCGCTCTTAAACGTCAAAATTAGTTTTCCCAAAGAAAAATGAGGCTAAAAAAAAGACGGCTCATTAAAGGAAGCTCTACATATCATACTCTTACCAAATTATTATGTGATTTCGAAGGCCGGCAATATTTTGATTTTAAATAATACATGTCTCTGAAAATTGACAATGTCGCAAAAAACCAGCAATGGTTTTCTTCATTAGCACAATAGGCAACGCTGAAGTAAAGATGTAAAGAAACCCATCAAATCTTCTGTTAGTGGCGCATGCAACGGATACTGATTGGAT